TGTATAAGAGACAGGTTGGGAAGGGTCAGGGTGAGGTTCATGGTTGGGCTGGGGGAGCTGCAAGGGCTTTTCCAGCCCAGATGATTCTGTGACTCCTGTGGCTGCGTCTTACCTCGTCCTTGTACTTGGTGATGTAGGAGTAGATCTCGTGCAGTGCACTCATACTGTTGAACTGGCTGAGGTGTAACCGTGACTGCTCCGCCAGGTACGCGCTCATGTCCTGGTCGCTGATCGCTGGCATTTTAGCTATATCTGCATAATATCTGCGCGGGAGAAAGAAAAGAGCGGGTCAGAAATAGGGACAGACAGAAGGGGGTGGGTCCCCACCATGATGCTTGCTGGGCATGGCCCCTGAGAGGCCAGGTGAGGAGCAGAGGGACATGTCACCATCACCCCTGCTGCTCCCCGAGAGGCCTCAGCGGCTCCCTGGAGCAGTCGGCAGCATCAGCGCCCAGCCCGGCCCGGCCCGCTGGGAACCCAGGAGCTCCTGCTCTGAGGGATTTCCCACCCTCTCCTAAAGCACACGCTTTTCCTCCTTCCCATCGCATTGGCTTGTCTGGCCCCTAAACTGCATCCACCAGAACCCTCCTCCACGCCCGCAGGAACACGTAAGGCTTTGCTCTCGTTGCCGAAGCCAAGGATTCCCCTTTGCATTCAACTAAATGACTGAACACAAGACAAGTTCACGCCCAGCCCCTGCCGCGATACCCCCCTGCGTGGTTGCACCTCCCTCTGCAACAGGCACCCAACACAGCCTACGACTGCCACTGGCCACGCTCCGAAGTTACAGCTCACCAAAAGGCCACGAGGAGCCTCGTTTTCAGTGAAAAACGAGATTCTGCAGGCATGTCTGCGAAGTCAAAGGATCCTGGGCAGCAGGGGAAGTGGCTGATGTCTCAGGGCACGCCTGGGTCAAACAACTTCTATGGTTACGGGACATGGTGTAGTTGAGAACTGTCAGTGTTAGGTTGAGGGTTGGACTAGGTGATCCTCAAGGTCACCGAGATGATTCTGTGTGACTCGGTGCTTTCCTGCCTTCCTGTGCTTCTCTGATGGCTGCTACCAGCAGGATACTACTTCACATTTCCTAGGACACCTGAAGATTTGCAGTCCTATCACATAAGCTGCCTCACTGATATGCTCCAGAGATACAGGGAAACCTAGACGCAGCTTATATGGCCCAGAACTGCAGTGGAAAAACAGACTATCCAATACAATATTCATCAAACCCCAGGCAGATCAAAGCCGCGGCATCCCACTGCAGCAGGAGGGTTACGCCAAGCAGACGCACCACTGGACCGGCTGCTGAGGTCCTTTTGGAAACCAGGGTTGTGTCCACAGGCCTCTATTAGAAAATAAATCCTACCCACAGCAAACGAGCCCTGAGCACTCCCACCACCTGGAGAGCCAGAGCGCCAGCCTCTCCCAGGTTTGCTTTCCTCCTCACGACTCCTCGCCCAGGGAAGTTTCTGGCAGAGTGATTAGCATCATTAGCATCATCAGCCGAAGGCTGAGATGGAACGTGGTTGAAGCACTTGGATAGGAGCAGATGGCAGCAAGACCACTTGAGGAGATGAATACGAGGATCCACTCCATCCCACGGCGCTGAGCTCGGCTTGTGATAAAACACACGGGCAGTCTTTACAAGGAGGCTCATTCACACCCAGAAAGGGATGCGAGAGGCCTCCTGGATACTGCCAAGAGCTGCGTCCTGAGGTGAGGAGCTCTGGCTAAACCAGACACCAAGAGATCTCTTACGCCACGGGAGAGATCACCCCCAGAGCGACGTCTCCTAAAGCTGACATTACTGCTGCCAGCGTTGAGGAGCATTAGGGAGAACATGCCCAACTTCCTCAGTTCCAACCAGCTCTGATTAGCAAAGGAAACCCATAGAGATCCTCCCGGCCACCCCTCAACCCCGCCGGTGAAGGCCCCTGTGGGGAGGGACTCGCGGGAGACTGGCTGAAGGAGGAAGCTTTTCTGGCTGCCACAAGATGTCCAGGAATCATGCAGCAGCTTCAGGTTCCAGGTTTTATCACGACACAAAGGATGGCAGGAAACCGTTTTTCTGATGTAAGTGCGTGTGGCTTGTCTTTTCCAGAGGACACCACCACAGCCACGACCCCGGCAGCAGCCCCCTGGGGCTCCCCAGGCCCCCCCACCTCCCAAGCCCTTCACCGTGTTCCTCCTGCCTCAGACTGGCAGCCCTTTTTTTTTTTTTTTTTTTTTCAGCTGGTGCCTGAACCATGGCAGCAGACTGCTAGTTCCACTCAGCCGCCCTCGCATCGCTCCCCTCCCGCCTCTGCAAAGCTTTGTGACAGTAACGGTGCCAAAAGCCAGAAATGCTGATTACGCCGTAAATCCCCGCGGCAGAGGAACGGCTGGAGACAGAGTCACACCCTGCCCGGGGCAGCTCTGCCCCCTGCTCGGCTGCCTCTGGGACCGCACCAGTAGTAAATGATGGCAGAACATCTGTCACTGGTGAGATCTCCCACCTCTTCCCCAGGGACACGCCACGTCTGGGCCAATGTTTAACTCTGGAACAATTTTATACCTTTTTTTTTCCTGCAGGCACATGCAGAGCTGAATATTTTTGTCACAGAGATGGCAAGGTCAGAGAAATTCACCTGATGAAGTTTGTGATGTTCCTACGGGAGCCCACTCCAAAGACCCCTCGAGCCCCCCACAAAGGACTTTCTCCTATTACAATGCAGCTCATCTCTCATCTCAGCCGTCATATTTCAGGGGCACTTTTTCTTCTGATCCAAGCCCTGTCTTCCTCAAGGGAAGAAGCTTGTCTTTGTACCTGCCTGCAAAGCACCAGACATGCCAACGGTGCAACAAAAATAACTGTGTACAAGCGAGTATCCAAAGGAGGATTTAGGCTACAGAGTCTCATGTTTGCAAATTAGACAACATAATGTTTATTGTTGCCTGGACATCTCTGGTTTGGGTCATTCTGTATCCTGCCTAGATGCTGAAAAAGGGAAGGGTCTGCAGTTAAAAAAAAACCCAAACAAACCAAAACAACCACGATCTATAGCACAACATATCAGCACAAGGGGAGAGTTGCATCAGCAACCTGAAAACTGCCGGTTTTAAGCTTGATCAAGCCCCACTTCACAAGACAGCAACATTTTAACGGCAGCTCTACTTGGAGGGCTTTGAGGACATCTCCTAGCTTTTCTCTCCCGAAAGGATAAAGCTAAACACAGCATTATGCCTGAGCACATCAATTTGCAATCAGCAGCATTCAAACCCCGAACCTTTAACACTGCATTAATTCAGCAGGACAGAGGGATGTCTCTGCTCAGGTCCCAGTGAAGGTGGAGGGTGTCAGAGGGAGTCGGGGGACCTGCTCCTCTCCCTGCTCCTCGGCACAGCGACGGCAGCCCCAGCACTGCCTCAGAGCATGTGCTCTCATCAGGATCCCAGGCGAGATGTACTGATGGATGAGAGGTGGGAAATGGGGAATTTTCAACCATTTCAGCAAAACCTGCGTGTATTGTTGTGGTAAAAAAAAAAAAAAAAAAAAAAAAAAAAAAGGCACTTCTCTAGTCCAAGGCTGACTTCTCACCGCTCTTCGAAAGCAGTCAAGGGAGGTGTCAGCAATTCCCTAGCACAGACCCAAGTTTTTACAACAGAAAACCTAAAAGTGGAGGTTGCTTTTAGCACTCCTTAAGCAAGTCATAAACAGCTCTGTCATCATTCCAGGAAACAATCACGAGAAAGCATCCTCTCCCGAAAGAGACGACTGCCTTCCACAAGCTGGAGTGTGGTCCCTCTTCAGACAGTGGCCAAGAGGAGACCCAGGACCCCACACCCGCCCATGTCCAGTGTAAGCCCTCTAGGTGAAGCAAGGAGCTGCTGCCGAGTCCACTCACCTTTCTACCCAGCTCTTGTAGTTGGGGATGTCCTTGGCGTACAGTAGTTTGTTGGAAGGAGAGTCTTTTCCTAGCTTGTGCTCAGAAGTTGAGCAGGAGTCCATGAATGTCTGAGCCACCACGGATAGGCAGGCATCAGTAATACTGTTCTTGTGAATGTCGAACACAAACTGGGGGTTCTTAATCACATTCACCCAAAAACGTAGAGGTAGACTGAGGGATGAAGGGAAGAGCAGTCAGCAGCTGAACTAAGCCCTGCAGGCAGCTGGCACACCCCCACCCCTCCAGCTGTGGAGCAGGAGCTGCCCAAGACCCCGAACTGGGCCGGCTGCTCCCCCCCACACCACCTGCCCCCTGCTCACCCCCACGGGGCCACAGCTCTCCGTGGAGGATTTCCTCGGCACTGCCAACGTCTCCAAAGGCAAACCAGGGCAGGGCAGACCTGTGGTTTCGCCGGGGATCCGCTCGCAGGGAAGAGTCCGTGCTGAGCCCACGGGTCAGACCAGGCGCGGTCCCTTCTCCCGCACCAACAATCCCTTCGGAAGCGCCGTGTGGCATTTCACACGTCTCCCGCGTCGGGGCAAGGAGTTAACTGGACTCCTCAAGGGACTCATTAGCACATTTCACACCAGAGGAGAATTTAGGCAGCCTCGGATGCTGGAAATAAAGCTCTCAGCTGTAGAGGCAGCCGCTCTCCTGGCCAGCCACCGACTGGATGTTTGCTGCGTGCCCACACACGTGCCACGTTCCACGGCTCCGCTTCCCGGTCCTGCCGCCCCTCTCCTCTCCCAGGAGCATCTCAGGGCCTCCCCCCATCACAGACCGTCTCTGCTCCGTCATCCCTCAGCACCAACACCCAGCGAATGCTTTTATCTTAGACAAAACACACTTAATTCCCCAGGACTTTCCTAATGAGGGTACCGGGTGCATGTACATATTTCATTTGTGAAGGGAATGGCCTCGAGAAATTAGCTCCACACATCGAATTAGCGCCCAGAGATAAGCACGGGCATTAGTATGCAGGAGCCTGCATGCCCAACCCCTGCGGAGCGGGACTTTTTTTTTTTTTTTCCTCCCTTGCCTTTCGCTCCTTCTTTTAATATAGAAAGCTGAGTTATAAATCAGTTCCAAGCGCTTCCGCGCTCTCACATCTCCATTTAAAAATGTTTCTTTTCCTGCCCTGCTAATTGCCAACAGTTACTGAACTACACAAAAGCAATTTGGCTGCCATTTAACAAATGCCAGACACGGGAATGTACGTACCCGTCTCCAGTAACAGCAAGATCAGAGAGGTGAAACCAGTGAGGCAGCAGAAAAGAAAAATGCAGAGGAGGGGCTCCGGAGCAGAAGCCAACGCCTGCTCCAGCCCTGGCCCCCGCATGGCACTTACAGAGGTCTCAAGTGTCCTGGTTTGGGCTGGGATAGAGTTAATTTTCTTCCCTAGTAGCTGTTACAGTGCGGGTTTGGATTTAGGGCAAGAACACTGTCGACAACACACTGATGTTTTAGTAGTTGCCGAGCAGCGCTTACGCTAAGTCGACTTTTCAGCTTCTCCTGCTGCCCTGCCCGGGAGGAGCCTGGGGGTGCACAAGGAGCTGGGAGGGGACACAGCCGACCCCAACGGCCCAAAGGGAGATTCCGTACCATGTGGCATCATGCTCAACATATAAACTAGGGGGAAAGCTGGCCAGGGGGCCACTGGTCAGGAAGAGGCTGGGCATCAGTCAGTAGGTGGTGGGCAATTGTTTTTCATTTGCATCACTTGTTTTTCTTGGGGTTTATTTCTCGCTTTTTGTTATTTTCCCTTTCATTACTATTTATTATTTTATTTTACTTCGGTTATTAAACCGTTCTTCTCTCAACCCACAAGTTTTGTTACTTTTACCCCCCCCCCTCACCCCACGGCGGGGGGTGGTGAGCGAGCAGCTGTGCGATGCTTAGCTGCTGGCTGGGGTTAAACCACGACAGGCAGGATGCCTACACGGCTTTACACTGACTTTGTTAGGCCACGCTCGTCTGAGTGAGGGGAGGGACTCTGGAAACACCTTCAGGACAGCAGAGATGAGAACTGAGGCTGACTCCTCTGGAGGAGCCCAGAGGATGGAGAACCCAAGGTGGGAACGGGACCGCTGAGGTCCCTCGGGTGAGCGTGGTGCCTGGGATTTGGGAATGGAAGGGCTGAGGGAGCATTGCATTCCTGGGATTTTTTCTGCTGCAAGAAGGCATGCAAGGGATTTACCCACAGCCCAGCCACAGAGATAAGGGCCTCTCTTGCCCTGGATCATTTCCAGGGACATATTTCTGCTCCCTGCGGGAGGGGTTGGCACTATCCTTAGCTGCGGTATCGTTACCCCCCTCCCCACTGCCCCTCTCCATTACCAGTTACTCTTCCAGGTGTGCCTGACATCGTAATCATTGATCTGATGCTTATCAGCTTGTTCATCCAGGAAATCAAACATGTATTTGATGGCAAGGGGCAGAGCGCTCCCACGATGCGCTGTGCTGAAGATGGTCTCGAACAGGTCATCCACGAATTTCTGCAGGGTGCCCTGAGGAGGAGGAAGAGAGAAGGGCCACTCAGCAACACCCAGTGCCAGCAGAGACGAGCCTTTAACTGATGGCCGGCCCTTAAACCAATTTCACTTCTGTTCCTACCGCAGTACGGTCTGTGTAACCCTACTGGGGTTCTCAGTGATTTATACTGGGAAGCAGATGCTGCAGTGATACCTCCTGCACTGCGTGACCTGGCGTGCTAAAAGCACACAAATAATAACACCATATAGAGCAAAAAAACAAACGCATGTATGTCGCATCACGGTCTTTTTTTGGGTGCCATTAAGGTCCCCAAGACCCGATGCCAAGCCCTCGTCCCACGAGGCAGGGAGCCACAGCACAGGGGAGATGGTGAGCCCAGTTCTCTGCAACCCTGAGCCAGTATCTTCAGCACAGCCCTCCGTTCCTCTCCGGGGACATCTCAGACACACAGCACCCGCTCGGCACTGGAGAAGGTTTTGTATGTGCTGAGGGAAGGGGAACCCCCTGTGATTCCCAACGCCCCAGGTATTTACCCTTCCCACGTCACTGATTTTGCAGCTTTAGCCCAAACACGGAAGGGGATGAGGCCCCTGCCCCAGGACATCTCTGCTTCACAGGATATAGGGAACAGTAAAAACACCAAGAGGTGCAAAAACCAAATAGGAAAATCCACTCAAGGGATATTCACTGAGGGTTTTGACACACAAAAACATCACCTCCAGCTCAGGAAAGAGACCAAGGGAGTAGCTCCTCCTGTGCTGAAGCAGAGGGTTAATAAAATACCAGTGCTCATGGCTTTTGGAGAAGCCAAACCACTACCCTTCCCCACGCGGGTGGAGAGAGCCAGGCGGCACCTCCGGGCCATACCTTGGTGGCCAACAGGCGGGTCAGGTAGATTTCGGAGACCATCTTGCTGCCCCGGTCGCCCTCCCGCTGGTCCATGTGGTCGTGGTTTTTCACCAGGTGCCAGAGCTTGGTGCCGCTCTCCAGGTCGGGGGTGATCATGGGGGTCCGTGAGCGCAGGCTGTCGGGGCTGCTGGCGGTCCGCAGCATGCTCTCTGCAAGCGCCGAGCAGAGGGGGATGCTCGTACCCTGCCCACCACCCCCCGCAGCCCCC